ATATTGATTAAGGTGTGATGTTCACCGGCCATGACTCTTTTCCAGCTGTATTTCTTTTGAGACATTTGCAGTAATGGTGATTTATAATCTCTGAAAATTAGACTGGCTAATGCTTCTTCTCCCTCCTTGCTGGCAACAGCTTGTGTCTTCGTGTTGTCTGTCCTCCTGTATGCACTTGTTAATGTAATATCTCAGAACCCCCCCGCCCCGAGGGAATTACTTCACATGTGGCACCTCATGGATGAAGTGAAAAGTTCAGAGGTAAAGGTCACTGTGATGTCACGTCGCTCACTCTCGTGAAGCCCCGAGCGGCGTTACAAGACGCCTGGAGCGAACATCACCTGGACTCGTGCCCTCACCCTTCAAGCTTGTGGCCACAACTCAATAATTATGCCAATAATGAGCTTTTCTAATAGGAAATGAAATTATAAAGGGGTGATACTTCAGACTGACCTGGATGTAACCTGCAGGCGCCATAAGAAGGCAATACATCTGTCAAAATCCTATTTTGGCAATTTCCCAGAATGTCAAACTGATTCTCACATGGATGGCAGTTCTATAACCACAGGCAAGACATATAAGTCTTTTGTGTGTGTTTTTAATTGATTGATGAATCTCACAGCAGCATGCTTCAGTGACGGTGTCAAATTAATGATCATGCTGCAGATAATTAAAGTGCACAAATCATGGTCAGTGCTTAGAGTCTAAGCACTAGCCATAAGCCCTCACCTGCAGCGTGCATCCATTCCTCTAAGGCTGTCTGGTGACCGTCACTGCGTCGCAGGAGCAGCAGTTCGGTGGACAGACGGACAGCGAGTGCATTGAACGTGCACACCGCAGTTGAAATGGGGTTATCCATATTGCAGGAGATTTGTGTTTTTATTGACCTACAGTCACGAACAGACATTCCTCTAGTCTTTTTTTACAAGAGTTGAGTAATAATTTACTCCTCGGAGTGCTTGGGAAATGCACTTTTCTAGTTTCTTTGGAGTATTTTCCTAGTGGTTAAAAAAAGAAAGAACTAGCAAGGGATGACAGGCCAAGCGGTGACGGATTCCTCATTTGACTCGGCGGTAATTTTATTATATATACCTTAAAGAATAGCGTGATTTGGTCTGTGAAATCACAGCATTATCAAAAATAAAGCACCTGCATATTTAAAACAAACGCCTAAGTCTTACCTCAATACCTCCAACATCTTTAAAGGAAACACAAATCTACCACCTGTGATGGAAAGAGAGCGTGCTCATTGACTACCGAGCTGTAATGCACAATGACCAACTCGCCCCCCCCACCCCACCCGTATTCTGGAGCCATTCTGTGCGTCTAAATTGCTGGTATAAAACACGCAAGCCAGAGGGGTAATAGTTTTTGATAACGATCCTGGTCTGAGCTTTGGTGCTGTGTGGCCACATGCCGCACATACAGCGTGCTGATTAGTTCCCCGGAGTGGCCGGGATGTGTGTCCGTAACGGTAATTTCGAGGCCTGATTGGCACCGAGCTGGTGAAATTGGGGGCAGTTAGCTCTGAGGGGAAAATAGTGCTGGAGTGTGTGGAAATGCAGCAGCCGGCCAACAGTAAACAAATTATCTGAAGTGAAACGACAACATCGGGCGATTCAAAGCGCCGGCTCACATTACGGAACAACGGGGGAAGTTCCTGTCGAATGTCTGCGGCTTCACCTTAGACCGGCGTACATGAGTCAAAACACACTGGCCTTAATTGTTTGTTAAAAGTTTGCTTTTACATTGTCGAAAATCTTTGATGTGTCTTTAAGGAAAAGTGTCTTTTAGATAACGGCCGGATACGCTGCATGACGAGATTTCAGCAAAAAGCAGAACGTTGGATTTAGAAGAAATCCAAATAGCCGGAGTGGAACATTTCTCTGATGCTTGCTGCTAATCTTCCCAGACGACACATTCCCCCACTTTGTCGTCCCGAGAAACTTTGTGTACGCGGACGTTTACAGAGCATCACCCCCCTGAAGTCACGGCGCATTCGGTTCACAGCAATTCACAGCATTTCTCCGTTGTTTCTCATCTTAGTTTATTTATTTTCACTTTATTTTTTTAACAAGCTCCATTAGGATGCTTGATAAACCGTTTATTAGCGGGGATCTCCAGCTCCGCGGGCACCTGACGTGCAATTACCCTCCTCCGCTTGTGTTACAGGTGAGCGGGTTTAAAGTGAGGGGGTTAATTCTTAATTGGGCACTTTTGTTTTGGGAATAGTTTTCATGAATAAGCGAGGGCGCGGGGGCCGTTGTCACGCCGCTGCATGTCGCGCCAGCCACAGAATAAAGAAGAGATAGATTAGGGATGGGCAACGCTTTTCTTTTTTTTTTTTCCTTCTTTTTGCCAACGCTGTGATGCCCAGTGAAGGATAAATGTGCCAGATGTGACAGCGATTTATTCGCTGCAGAGGGGATGGATGAACGATCGGAGGCGCCTTGATGTGAGCGCCAGCCTTCTCAAACACATCAGCTCATTTCTTTACTGCTGCGTCCCCACGAAGACTCAGCCAGGCTTTAAATGGATGAAGGAGGTCACTTTTTTTTAACTGCTCAAGTGTCAAGCACAACCTGGTGTCAGTCAAGTCTTTGATTCTTTCCATCATCGCTGTTTCAATGGCCTTCCAGGACTTTGAACGGCGCCAGTACGACGTTTCAGCACAATTTTCTGAGACAAACACACACAGCGATAGCAAGCCAGGTCCCGGTGACTGAGCATCCATGTTTATATCCAGGATCAAAAAGGTTGTTCCTAACTAGCTTGTGGGAAACCTTGGTGAGCGCTGTTCAACCGGTGGAGTTTTGATCTAATTCCCTCTGGGACCACTGTTTCAGATGTGTAAACATTGGATACACACTGGGGCCTTTAAAGCCACGAAGTGACCGGCGCCAAATGGTGGATTAGCGGTGCCCTAGTGTTGGGGTACGCTTCCCTCTATTGTAGAGGGGGGGGGTTAGGGAATCCCCATTTTGTTTTCAAACAGGGCGACACATATTGGCACAATCCTCAATGCGAGAAAATTTTAAAACGTCTAAAAATGTTAAAGGTGTTGTGTGGGCCCCCCCCCCCCCCCTTTTCCCTCCTCCTTCCGGACAGGTGGTTTACAGCAGCATCACACAAAAGATCTCCACTAATTCCTTCCTGGATCCCGCAGGAGGCGCGCGGCCCAGAGAAGCGGGGGGGGGGGGGCAGCGGCGAGGACGGCGGGCGCGTCGCGGGAAGCGCGCAGGCACGTGGGCTGCCAGCTGAGACGCCCCCCTCCCCCCTCCGATGTTTAAATCAATTCCAGCACGGCCTAAACGGTCTGATAGTATCGGCCGAGGCTTGAGCAGATGCAAGATTCCCCCGGCGTTGACATTGTCTTCCCTGGGAACGCGGCGGAACGGAGATCCGTCGAGCGGCCGTCTGCGACGCCGACCCGCTCTCGGTGGCGGAGTGCAGTGGAGATAAGCTCCTCACGTGGGGGCCCGAACAAAGCTGTCTGGGTTTGAAGGGCAGAACGTATGGCGAGATGAAGCGTCACCTGCGGCAGAAGTGCACACTTTAGAAGACGAGAAGGGATGAAAAGCTCATCATGTGCTTTGAGATTCACCCTTTTATTTACTTAACGTTACAGGTGTTTGTTAAAAGGAGGTGGCTTGTGTGAATTGATGTATTCAAATATCTATCAGAGGGAATTCAGCTGGAATAAAAAATGACTTGGAGGGATTCTACAACTAAATTAAAATCAGTTTATTGTATGACAACAATCTTTTCTCTGGTGCGGTTTGAAAATCGTACAACAAAGCTAATCAATTTTCGTTGTCGGCGAAAGTAATTTCCTTTGAATATGAAACGAGGACTCACAAAGAACGGCAGAAGACGACTGCGATACAAATGTGATACAAAGATGCTGCAAGACGAAAACGCGCCTTCACAGGCGCCGCGGTCTTTGCTCTGATATTATTGTAATTCACATCAGCTTTTTATTTGCATATGATTAACTTCAAAAAAAACGTGTGTGCGTGAAAGCCCCGTCTCAGCATGGCGGGTTTACATGCACCCGCCGTGTGTGTGTGTGTGTGTGTGCTGCCTTTTGCTTGTGCTGCCACTCATTTCAATGAGAAATGAAGAAGCCAGAAATTCTGATAAAACTTAAGAGGTATAAAAATAATAAATTGCTGCAAACAACAAAACTGCCTCAGCGAAGAGCGAGTGTAGAAGTGAAGCTTTGAAACCTTTCCTGCACTTCGTGCTCCCGAATCAGACTGTCGCCGAATGAATGCGTGTCACACCGTGTGTGTGTGTGTGTGCTTCAGTTGATAGGCAACCTGCCAGTGTCTCTAACTACACATCACTCTGAACCCTCCACTCTGATCCACAACACTACCCCTCTCCGCCGCCACGTGCCCCTCCCCATTAACACACCCCGCGCCTCTAATGGAGTTCACTGCACACCACTTTCCGCCCGAACGCGCAGCAGAGGAGTGCAGCTAATAGCAGTTGCGCAGTTGGAATACATGGGTGTGCGCTGGAGTTAATGTATGCTACTACAGCAGTGTTGGCAGACGTGCCGGTGTTATCTGCCGGAGGGGGGTCGGGGGGGGGGGGGGGGGGTTGAGAGCTCGGCCCATCTGCACGCCGCCATTCTTGACGGCTCCCTCTGAGCCTGTTCTCCGGTCCCGGTGCTGCACCGACACCTCCGATACATGACGCGGCGCCTTGTCTCCGCATCATGAATAGGGAAGGAATGCGCCCTGGCTGTGGATGGTCCCTGAGTTTGACAAGAGGTTTGAGGGAAATTGGTGGAAATGGGCATATGGCGCTCTTCCCCTTAACGTCCCCTTCGTTCAGCACTTAAGATGAAAGCGGGTGTTTGTAAAGCCACGCTCGTCCCCCTCCACTCCCCCACCCCCCGCTTTGATCTGGAGTCTCCCAAGCAACCCTCCTCCTGATTGTGTTGACATTATCTTACCCATAAACCTCCCCCTTCTTCTTCCGCTCCAAAGGTGCGGCGGCCATGTTTTCCCAGCAGCCACAGGACCTGGTGGTGGTGGCGGGCCAGCCTGTGACGTTACCATGCAGCATCCCTGGTTACCACGGCGTCGTCCTGTGGATCAAAGACGGCCTGGCGCTAGGAGTTGGCAGAGATCTCGCTGGTAAGCAAACCGCATTAGCGCGTCCGCCTGCATTTCTCCATCACCTGCAGTTTCCTCCATTAATTACTCTGTAACCGTCATATTCCAATGGGCACTTCCTGTTACCTAAAGCCCCCACTTATCCGAGCCTGTGCCCAATGTACTGTACAGTGATAGTTTGTTACAACACAAGTACAACACAAGTATTACATTACACGTGTTATGAGAAACATCAGTAATTAAGATGATCCAAACTGCTCGGTGGTGGATGCAGACCTACAGCTTTTGTATTTAGTGTTTTTTTGGCAGCGAAACCACAGAAATCCAAATGAAAATGTGGAATCGATAGTGGCTCTGGTCTTTCTCTGGTGCTTCAAGCTGCTAAATGGCTTTTTGAAGAGTAGCTGGCATCCTCTAATTACACTTCACCTCATGTATAATTACCTTAATTGTTTAATTTGAAGTAAAAGGGACCACTGCACTGTAATTTAGTAGCCTGTTGTTCCACCAATTGAGACTTTATGTATATTCATGACATCGATGAATTTAAAGGAAGCACATCACTCTGAAGAAACATTTAAACCTTTTGAAGCACGGAGCTTTTCAATAAAAAAAATCCATAAAGGCATCGGAGGCGTGAGCTCCCTTGACAAAGGAGATATATTTGGAACGATATATCACAGTAAAGCAGCATTCTAAGAAGTCGTCATCTTTATTTTTGGCCCTTCTAATTTACCCCACATAGAACCTCTGTTCGATCTTCAAAGAGTAATTACAATTTGCCTCCACAGAATATCGGACTGCATTTAGAACGATTGAATCATTATTTCAGGTGAGATTGGGATTTCCTCTACCCTCTGACCTTTAATAATGCTGGGCCTTCCCTGGTGCCGAGGTGGTCAGTAATTAAACCACAGCGGCGTAAAGCCCTCGTATTCCCTCTTCGGGTTCTTATCAGGCCCCCGGGGACGCTGAGAGATTGCAGTAAACAACGGCCCCCCACTCTTAGTCTCTACTCCAAAGAAAAAGAGGCAGACGGGGAGACGACTTACGAGAACGAGGGAGCACTGAGAGCACAGTCTGACTTTTTGGTCACGGCAAAACAGAAATCTAGAGTAGTTTTATCTTCTTGGATTGTTATTGATTTTATATGGCGACGAACAAGATTCTTTGCTGTATCCACTTTAACAAGACGAGACAATCAAGATGAAATCTCATTGCAACAAGGGCAGAGGAAGGAATGGAAGAGAGAAAACGTTGTGCACCACGCGCACAATCGCAAAGGGGACTACAGTAGATACAGAAGAGTCCTGCAGACAGAAGTCCCCAGAAGCATTTCATCCGTCTTATTTGGCTGAATAATCGGGGCCGAGGTGCAGTCGGAGGGATCTTTCTCTTTCAAATTGTTAAAAAGATGCAGCAGGTTTTGTATGAGGACGAGTACCTGGACAAGAGGCTGAGTGCCTTCCATTGAGACGAATGCCACTTTCTGCAAACAAAGAGCCCCACAGCTGTTCTTTTTACCGCCTCCCCTCCCCACATAAACAAGCAATGCAGGCGGTACTAAAAGAGCGACGGTACATCCAGTGCGAGACGTACACCACGAAAAGGGAAAGTGGCAGCTGTGTAGGTCTGCTCGGCTGTGCACAGAAAGGTTGCCGCGTCGGCTGCTCTGCCTGGGACCCGTTTCCATTCACGGGAGCGGTGATTAAAACACGACGGAGCCTTTCACCATTCAGCGGCAGAAATCACGGCACAAAAGCCAGTGATTCCTATCAGTTCCCCCCCCCCCGAACCTTTCCGATTCATCCTCTCTGGTGACGCGCAAAGTTCCCGCTCAAATCAAAAAGGAAAGTCGAACGGTGAAGACGCAGGAGGAAGTGTCTGTGTACGTCACGACGCCGGTCACCCGCCCGCTGGCCCCCTGCAGCTCGCACTGAGGGAAAGATGCTCGAGTATGGGGGAGAGGGGGGTGGATCACGAGGCCACGCCTCCGACGTCTGCACACTCACGTGCACCATCGATCCAGCCTTGGGACAAATCCATTTTGCTTCTGATGGATTCATTACTCCTTAATGGGCCTATTTTACATCGTTTGCTTTGGGGTAACACATTGTGTCTTTGAAATTCGCTGAGACCTGAGATCGATGGCTCTTTATAGGTAAACATCACATGTGCAGAGGCGGTCGCTCATCATGTGTGCGCGTGTATAATTGAAGTCCCGTTGACAGTGATTGAGGTGCTTATACGGAAGATGACAGAAACGCATTACGATACGTTTCTGTTGGAGGAGGTGATTATGGTGTCGTTATCACTACTATCCAACAGGAAGGCAAATTGCTTTTCTTTTTGGATCCAGCTAATGCACAGAGATGAGACTGGAACCGAGCCACGGCGCCACACAGCATCGTTATTCTTAGTTTGCCAGAGGCACAGATGAGGTAATTGGCCGGATCATCTGTTTGTGCAAAACGCATTTACATGGCCGATATTGCGACAATTAAAAGAAGCCAAACAAAAGTGAATTCTGTTTCTGGGGTTGGGCCCAAACATGGCGGGTGGACGAGTCAAGGCCACGACGTGCACAACGCGCAGCAGTCGTTGCCCTTGTGATTGGCTCTGAATCTCCTCGATGAACATAAAACGGGAGCAAAATGGTTCCCTGGGTGACCTTGTGCACATTGTGATTCGTTATCCAGAGGATGAAAAGGCAATTTTCAGCCAATGGTTATTAATATCATTAATAGAATATTTTGTTGGGATCAGGATCCTGTGACTTTACAGCCGGTGTTTCTGAAGCGCCGCCGTCACTCATTGAAGTGCACGTTGCTCAAGTACAGTAAAAATTCAAAGAAACTCCTACCAAACATCCCCTGGTACAAATGATTGTGCTCCTTCTTTAGCTAAATTGCCACTAGTTTGGAACCTAATGTTTATTTTCTCCCCAGCTTTGATGTTTGTGTTGAGGAGTCCTTCTTGTCCTTTGTCCTCCCACTCTGTGGACCCGCAAGATGAAAGGCTGCACGTGGGAGGATGAAACGTCGGGCGCCTTAATCGGCTGTAACTCACCCCAGCAGCATAAAATGAGGCCCTCTTCACGCTCTATTACAGGCAACTGGATTCAACGAAGCAATAATCAGTAATTGGACTTTGAGCATATGATGGGTTTTTGCAGCAGACAAATTCCAGGATTTAAAAGCTGCCCGGTCTGTTCCTTTTGGCCACTATAACGTATTACCAGCCTATAAAAGCGTTACAGTGAGAGACTGGAGTGTTTGGGGATCTCTGGAGTGAACATGAGTCATAGCTGTTACTGGGAAATCAATATTTTCCTCCCCAACATTTGTTGGCAATGACCTGACAGTCGGACTGATACAGACTGGAAAACGAGTGACAATGGTGAAAAGTAAAGTGTGAAATGACTTTTACGAAGCACAATTCTCCGATCCTGCCGGCTGCTTCCATCATTGATCAGCTGCTGGGAGACGGGATCCGGTGCTGTGGGTACCGCGCAGTGCGTCCTCTCTTCTCAACACACATTTCTCATTCCATTCCACTCGCTGAATCACCAATAATTAGCGAGATGGACTGAGAGAAGCCGAATGCGGATCTTCAGAGACGAGCGATTCTAAAAGCACAAGAAACAACCCGTAAAGCTTTTATGTCAAACACATTCTCCTTCCTGTTTATTCGCCCTGCTGGGGGGAGGGGGGGGGAGGCACTCCACAACACTCTCTCAATGCATATTTGGATGATTGTTAGGGGGATATCTTTAAAATAAAAACCCATCTCACTTGACTTGTATAAAACACCCAGGTGTCATGGACGTTTCTTGCTTTCTGGCATTATTAAACTATGAATCATTTCTCCGAGCGAAGCTGAAACACCTCCAACTCGAGCCGTTCCTCTTTACGGCTGCAGTAAAACATCATTTCGCCGAATGCAGCAGCCTCCACAGCAGGTCGTTAACATTACCAGGAGTGCTATGAAGACACGTTTTATAGTATTCACGTCTTAATCTTGTTTTATAAGAATGCATCGTGAGGAAATTAGCAAATCAACAGTTGAAGACTTTACTAGTCTCTCAAGCTGTAAAATTCACCCGCTGACGCTTTGAATTACCTGATTGTCAACTCGATGTTGTCGCCTATTATTGTTTCATTTTATAAGAACTGTGCAAAGCTCTGCAAATATGTAAATGGTCCCTATTTTGACGTTGCAGGCTACCCTCGCTACACGGTGATCGGCGACCACGGCTCAGGGGAGCATCACCTGCGAATCCAGCGGGTCGAGCTGATGGACGACTCGGTGTTTGAGTGCCAGGCCGTCCAGGCCGCCATGAGGTCCCGTCCCGCCCGCCTCACTGTGCTGGGTGAGTCCCAACTGAACGCACACACACACACACACACAGAATCAGAGCTCCATCGGCACCGCTGGCTTCTCGCTGTCTCGTTAGTTTTCAAGTGCTACCCGTTAGTTTCAGAGCGCTCCTGAGGATGTGCGGGGCTTCAGCCTCGTACGCTTCCGTGCTATAAATACTGCGCCCGGAGCACAACCGGAGCTCTACGGGCCCGAACGAAGTGGCACTTCACCAGAATCAAAGCGCGCGGTTGGCGTCCTGGTTCACTCGCCAATTACACACAAAGTATGAATACACAGGTAGATGCTTAAACAAAGGGGCTCACCTGTGGTTCGACTCAAAACACGGTCAAACATCAGCAGAATAATAACAAATGTAGTCAGTTAGGAATTATACCAGTGCTAATGTTTCTTTTTAGACGCTTTCATTTCTTAATCTGCACGCGGCCTCCATTTTCAGTTATTACTACGAGCTTGAGAGGTTACGGGTCCTTGATGAAGCTTTATCAGGTTATCATCCAGCAGGGCAGTTTCTGCCATCGTTGGCCTCTTTCCGGGGCCCATCAAGCCACCCGCTCAGTCCCGTCCCACCTGAAGACCGCCGGGGATGAGAGCGAGAGTCGATGCCAGAGCAGAAGAGAACGAGACGAGAAGGAAAGTGTGGAGGGAGAGAGGAGCGTCTGCCGTGCTGCGCCACAAGCGACTGATCCGCCTTATTGATCCAGCCTAATGAAAAGTGAAACTAATGGTTTGCAGGGGAGCAGAGAGAGGAGAAGACAAATTGCAGCATAACGTTGCTCTGCATTGCCAGGCCCCCTAAAAAATGGATATGAGGGAATAATGAAGAATACTTCGCTCCTTCCACTACTGTTCTCCGATAATCGGTCCAAACTTTCAGTGTAAGCTTTGCAGATACTGAATAATTGTTCCTGTTTTGGTTTATTTGCGTTTTTTTTGCAAGGATTTATCAACCCGGGCCGTTAAAACAAACCCTTATATGTTCCAACAATATTGCTTCATCATATTAGTTTAAGATTTCTCTAGTATCCTTGGGTGTTTTATGTAATTCTATGTATTTGCGTTGTTTAGTAACAACTGCCATGCACAGCAGGCGCAAAGAAGGCAGTTTTTCCTTGAACCCCCCTGACACTGAGCCGTGGTGCTGTTGGCCCGATGCTGCTGCTACTCACGGTAATTAAAGCAGAGAAACAAATTGTTTGCAAATGTTCCAACTTTTGGAACGCGAGCGACGTGCAGCAGCAAGAAGTGCAGACCTACTCTATTTAAATAACCAATCAGCAATAAGAAACGGGATGCCTTTATTACCTATTTAGCTGATTGAGGGTGAGACAGTTTATCACACCACCCTCCCCCCCTCTCCCCCACAAGCTTGAATAGAAGGTGTTTGTTTAATCCCCTGCTGAGCTAGCTGACTCCTGAATGCACCGCCAAGGAGGACTGCAGGGTGACGCACACACACACACACACACAAGAAAATGGAGGAAATATATGCAAGGCCTGTGTCACTGCAAACTCCATGCTGTCAATTACTTGCCAGCGGTGACGGAGTGTGTCTATCGACTTGGAAGACAGCTACGGCCCCCCCGCACCTACGCGCACACACAAACACAAACACAAAGGAATACACACAATCTGCTTACACACACACACTCACACACTCTGACTGCCTTCTTGGAGCTGACAGCAGAATAAATCTAAAAACTCTCCCCTCGATCTTTCATAACTCAATATCAGCCCAAACTCCTGCGCTGCGTCCACACCAGAAGAACTTCTCTCCTCTCGACTTTGATAGGCCTCGGAAATAACACAACATAAATATTTACTAGCACGTAGAGAAGCCCCTTTATCACTGCCAAAGAACACATACTCTGCTTTTCCTTTCACTGATTCGCTGATTTTGTCCTTGAGAGGCCCAAACAGTGGTGCTGTTCCCGAGATGAAGCAGCAGTAACCTCCCCCGACAAGCCACGTTACAACACCGCGTGCAATAAAAGGCAAGCGCTCCGGTTTTGCTCCCCTTCATTTCAGCCAATAGCTCAATCGCAGCGGGTTTTTGCGATATTGAAAAGGAAAGCCCCGACAACGTCGACATTGATGGAAATAATGAAGTTCCTTCATTAAAAAGGCTCTGGGTGTAGAGCGAGTGGCGGACTTCACCTTCGTCCTGCGTTGGCGTGGCCTGCCGGCTCACGCTCTGAAGCCAAAAGGAGAACCAAGGTCCTGTGAATTAGTCATGAACGAAGGGAATGGAGGGTTTCAGCTCCAAAAAAGACCCATGGGGCTAATTATATCCCTGGCAGCAAGTTGGCGCTGCTCCAGACCTTTGCTCTAAGCGCTCTACCTTCGGTCGGGGACCAGTGGAACGGAGGGAACGGAGATCGCCATTGTTTGATTAAGGCATCTGACTTCTTTGAGGTCTGTATTTCTTTTTTTGTCAACCGGAAGGGTGGAAAATGTGTCATAACGTCAGTGTAACGCGGTGCCGTTTATTGAGTCATCGCTGACATTTCATAGACGTGTTTGTTTTCTCTTGTCCCTCCCCGTGCCTTCACTCATTTGCCTTTTATTTTCTGTATGACTCACAAAATCATCCCTAGTTAATGCGGACGTGTGGGTGTCTGTGATTGCTAAATTGTCCTCGTTTTGAGAACCAGGTCAAAAGTATTAATGCACAGGCCCTTCATGTGAGGTTTGTATATTAACATTTTTGAAATTGCTTGTCAGTGATTTATTTGTCCGAGGACCAATTTGCCATGATGATTTCTCACTCATTATTTACTATATTTAGTAAAATAATGGAACATTTCAAATAAGTATTATGTATCAAGCTAGAACAGCCTTTTTATAAACTACCAATCTTCTTGTGGAAAGTATAGTTTAATTTACAACATCGTTATTTATTTGGAAAGGACCCAGAAAATGTGTCTTGATAAGGAAACAGTACACAATCACTTGTTTGAAACAAATGCAGATTGGTAAAACATAAAGATTTTATTGTTATTATCCCAAGTGCAAATATGCTACATGTATCAGCGCACAATAATAAGATTAAATTGAATATAAATATTTATATATACTAAGAGTTTTATCCGCACACATTGGAAGAAGTCACAAAATCTTAGACACTACAACACTGTTTTAATGCATTGTTATGTGAGCGGGCAGTAAGATATTTTTACTTCTTTTCTCCGTAAAACGTTTTTGCTGCTGTGAGATGACAGACTTTCCTGCAAGCTATTTAATCATCTTTGCATGTGAAACCATATCGGGCTCATTATGATAATCACCGGCTTGTAGTCGTTACGAGGGATGAAATCTGAAAGGCCTTCCTCAACTCAAAATGCGTCCCATTCATAAGCACACTTTGTGTTGTGACAAACTGAATTCACGGCATTCCATTTGACTGAGCTATTGTGCCGCGAGATTCTTCTTTTCACTTTCCCGCATTGTTAATGTTTCCAACGACCAATTCAGCAGCGCATTCCACGCACACAGAAGCCCAAGGGTGTCTTTTGTCGTTGTTGTTTCCAATCGGCGAAGCTGAATGAGACATTTATTTGGATAAGTCTGAATCCATTATTCCTCAAGGATCACACGGGCATCCTTGAGATGTGGCGTGTGGACTCTGAGGCTGTTGTTGTCCGGAGCGCTGTCCGTGGTGCTGATCCTGCTCTCCACCGTTTCACTGCTCTCACGTCATTTCATCTGCCATGCAGACTTGGAATAATGATTATGTTTTTGTCTTCTCTTCATCTAGTCCTTTAAGGTCATAGGAAAGTCCTATCCCAACTATTCCCACTGAGTGGTGTTGGGGGAATTGTGTGTAATGCACGTGTGTGCGTGAGCCAAATTCAGAGAGACTCCAAAAAGATAAATAACAGTAAAGCAGCAGCGTCCTGTGTAAGTAACCAATTTGTCTCTAACAAAAGTGAATTTAGGTTTTATAAGTCAGAGATATGGTTTCCTAACTGTCATTCTGCAGAAGAATATAGCTGAGGATTACTGCATTACTGCCTGTTGGTCAGAAAGACGATATGTAATGATAACTGCATCTGCGGAACAGCTGCGCTCTTATGGAAGACAGAGAGCACGTATGAAGTTATATCTTCTTCAACAGGAGGAGAAATAACACCAATGCATCTGTGCTCTGCAAAACAACAACTGCGTACAGGTGCTACGCTGATTGGAATTCACATTACATGGTGACAACAACTGTTATTGTTGTTAGCGAACTAATGATTGGTGTGATGAAAAATCTGGAGCCACGGGGTCTAATAAAAGTAAAAAACCCAGAACAGGGCCCTTTAGTCATTTTAACTATCTCACACACACACACGCACACACAAACACACGCACAGTGCGACCCAGTCGGTTGTGGAGCAACAATGTCTGCAAGCTTCCGATGTGCGCTGCAGAAGCAGCAGGCTGTGCACGTTTGTATCATCTTCATCATTTTCATCCCTCCGTCTCATTTGGCTGAGGCTACGCAGAGATTAGATCCATGCAGTGTTTTAATTTCAATTTTTCGCTGTCGGTGTAACAGACATTTATAAGAGGATATATTTTACATACACGATTTGACATAATTTGTAGCTTACTGCACTTTTATATATTTAATGGTGTTTCTGCGTACCCCTGCCTTTTAAATCTTTAATCTGTATTTCCCATATCAGCCCTCCCAGTGCATTGTAGTCTTTTGATGTGGTCGCACAGGCTTTGCAGGAAATACGTTTTTTCCTTTTTTTGAGGTTGAAAACAGTTTTTACAGTAATTGACATTTTATGCGATTCCCATCTGTGAGCCTGTTTGTTTCAGTAAAGTGGTTTTGTGTGTTTCTCCCACTTAGTTTGTCATTCATTGTCTCCTCCTCTTTCTCTCCCCTTGCATATGTGTGTGTGTGTGTGTATGTGTTTGTGCGTGTCCTCACACACTGCTGAGGACATCCTGGCATTCAAACAGATGTACAGTGACAGGATTTGAAAAGGGCCGGTGATTTGGGCCAGTGAGCCACTCGTGTTCGCTGCATCCACCTGCGTTCGCTGTTCCTCTTCTCCCCCTTTTACCTTCTTTTGTCTATCTGTCACAAACATCGCTAGCTGTCGCGACGGCGTGACAGGCGGCCCGTGCGAGCGCCCCTCTCGATATAGACAGGCAAGTCAGGGAGCTCGTTGTTGTTCGGGACACGTCTGCCGAAAAGCGCCGCAGCGGCTCCATTTTGGCAGCCTCGTCTCCCCCACGCCAGCCAGCCTCCTCGCGAGGAGCGCCTCACTCATTCATCCTCCTCCAAATTGCTTTTCCTCCCTTTGCCGGCGCTACTGGAAACCCGGGGCCGCCGGCAGGATTCCGTCGGCTGCTTTTGAGGAGTTGCCAGAATATTGGTTCGGCCCGGAAAGCCCGGCAGGTTCACCGGGAGCAGCACCTGGTTTTACTGGTCTGAAGGAGAGTTCTCTGCTAAGCTTTCCCTAAAGTCAAGTTTTAAGTATTAAGAGACAAAAGGACAACTTTACCTCCCCCAACTGTTTATTCACGCCTGTCTTGGAGGTGTTGAGTTGATCTCACATCAAGTCAAACTCATTTGTGGATCTTTTTGATTATGCAGAATTATCCTTCTGAAATCCCTTTTTTCTGACATCACTCTGTCTTTGTGGATGAGGTGGTCCAGGTGGGGCTGATGGTCTAGTATTGGTAGTAAAGCATAAATATTATTTGAGATAAATAAGGGGTTTTCTCCCTCAAATAAATTAAGAGCGAGGATCTTAAAGGTCTTTAGCTGAAGCCAAACATTCCATGTTGTTGGTTAATACAGACATGCAGAAATAAAACACAAACACCATCGTGATTGATCTGCTTTTAGGTATCTTTTGATTTGAATGAAATCACTGAAATGCTGCCGAATGCCGTTGTCTCTGCCTGGAGAATGCAAATTCGGGAAAGTGTTGAAAGAGATTACATTATCATCCCTAAGAAGAAAGCAGTGAGTGCAGCAGGCTCTGCAGTGAGTCAGCCATGTAATTAAAGAGGAGCGATCAATCTGTACCACTGACCACACTACTTATGCCAAGTCCATGGAATGACTGCAGTAAAGAGCTAATTTAGAACCATTAGGGACTGCCGAGTTTGCAAACAGCCCAGTAATGATGATGGCTGATTCAAGTTCAGGCCTTGGCCTTTGCATAGCTGTCAGACCTGAGAGCCATAAGGCAGAAACAGTGGAGGATCTCAGAGGGAAAAAAGAGCAAAATATCCTGGTGGAAATTTGTATTGGATGGGTGTTGGGTTATTGGTCAAACCCTCCTCTTTCTTCAGCAGATATAAAAGCTTTGACCTGCCAAGAACAAGAGCTCAAAGGCACCCTCTTTTATCAGAGTATTATGTGATCATGTCTCGCTACCTCTTTGCCTTTTGTGAGAGGCTTTTTGTAACGATCGCGATTTCCAAAAGATGCCAAAGGAGCACAAACACAACGGAGGACAGAGCTACGAAAAGGTAAAAGCGCTGGATGGAGGCGGCGACGCATGTCCGCCTTCTTCCTTGCCTGTTTGCCCTGGGCGGATTGCTGGCAGGTAGACCTCCGAGGGGACACGACCTGGAAGTGCAACGGTGCTCAGCTCGGCCTCCCCGTGACCTCTCCGTCATGTAGCTCCGCTGTGCACGTCATCGCGAACTCCGCCTGCATCTTCCGCTGTCGCATCCCTCAATGGGAATCGCACAGGTGGATAATGGCACCCAACCGAACCAATACTTTTTTACTGACTATCCAGCATATTTAATAAGAGAGAAATGAGAAATGCATTTTCTCCTGCTCTATTAAGATGCACTATCAGGATGTTTCTTTATAGTCTTGAATTATTTAAAACCTGCCACAAAATAACACAAAGCTAAGACATATATAGACGTTGCTATCTGTTGTGGAAAAACAGGGGAAGTGAGGCCAGAGTCCGGGCTAAAACAGGAGGCTCTAATCACAAGACAGTAATCACGTAACAAAAAGGGTCCTTTTAGTAAAAAGGTTGGTTTAAGGGCTCCGTGGATATATCGTCTTCCTCCTCCTCCTCCTCCTCCTCCCCCTCCTCCTCCCTCTAATTATGTGATGGGCTGCAGGTGTGACCAATGCCACGTGTCTTGTGGCTGCAGCACTGGATAGTAAGCCCCCTTCATCACCCCCCTCAACCTGAGCTTGGGGATCCGCCGAGGTACACAAAGTTGTTATGATCAGTAAATTAGGACAAAAATCAATAGTTACTGAGAGAAATTCAGAAAGGTAACTAATAAAAAAGATTAATTAAGGAGGAGTAATAT